AAAAAGAAATTCAGATTTTTGAATTTATAGATTCCTGATCAGTGTATAACCAGAGGACTTGCCAACTAAGAGAGGTTAAGAGAGGTTAACAGTTTAGCTGTTATATTGAGCTGAACTCGTGTTATATTGAGATCAGATTCACAACGGAGGATTTCTGCTATAAGATTTTAAACATTTATTTGTGAATATATTTTAATTTTTAATCTATAAAACATAACGTGTAAATTCTTATTTGATTTAAACTGATCTAACAGCCTCTTGAAAGTAACTGAAATATCACTTTAACATTCAAACAACTGCTAATTGTGACTGTTAATTAAAAAAAATTAAATCATATTCAAAACTTTGATGGCTGGTAATTTTACTAGGACATCATTTCCCAACATGTTAAAAAAATAAACTTAACTCCTGTCATGGAGTGAAAACTGATGGGCTATCGAGATAAGAAGACTTAAAATTCAGTTGTAAAATAAAATATTATCATTTACAATACATTTAGCATATTTTTCATCAGTCTGTATGGTTTAATTAAACCAGGTCTCTCACTTATTGATTATCTGACATGTTTGCAGAAGTGGTAACGATGCTCTCTATTATTGCATCATGAGTTAGTATATCTAGTTAGCTTGTCAGCTACTGCAGAGCTACCCATCATTAGCAGTGTCAGGCACTGTCAGGCAAATTTTCATAAAGCTAAATTATGATGTTTTTGTTTTAACTTGCAAAACAAAAATGTTTTGAACTCACCAGCACAGGCTGCAGGTCTGTCTCTGAGCTAACAGCAGAATAAAGTTGTAAAGCAGGTCTCTCTTGCAAGTGAGACAATTCTTTCAACGAGAATAACCTGTATAAATAAAGGAAATTAAATGAGATGAAATCAGCTTCTTTAACTTGAAGCCAAACTTTCTCATGACTTTCTCATCAGTTTGTTTCAATACCTTTAGTTCCACTTGAACAGAAGTCATCGAGGTTTATCTGTTAGCCAGTAAACAGGTAATATGAAAGGTGCATGTCTACCGAGTTTCGCTTCAGGATGGTGAACCACACAGTCTGAGTGGGAGGTGTTTGGACACAATTGTTGTGGGTTTATTTAACAGGGAAACTCCTCATTTCCGGCTTGTCCTCACTTCTAGCCAGATCAAACACAAGCTGACTGGTAAGAAACAGATCCAGTGGCTGCAGGTGCACTTTTTTTTTCTCCTCCTAATATTATTTCATAAGTTTATGCTCACATTTTTAACTCTGTAATGGCTTGGATAATAAATCTAATCCATTACTGCGCATAAAACTTGAATTTAAAATATTTAGCTTAGGGATTCACGATATTATCGGCATGGTATCGGTATCGGACGATATTAGTGTTAAAGTTCAATATCGGACATCGGTCATTCCATCAAAATAACTCACCAATATAAAAGGCAATGTTTTTGTATGACAACCCAGTGACAAGGATGCCTGCAGCGCCAGCACAACGTGATGACGTCATTTGCTCCTACCTGATCTGATCACAACAGAGAGGAAGAAGTCAAAATGTCGACGGTGTGGAAGTGTTTTGTCGTTGAGGATATTGGATTCCGAAGTTTTTTGGGCTACGTTGAGCCTCGCTACATTGTCCCCAGTCAGTGATATTTTTTCTGACGTAGCCTTACCCGAGTTACAAACCGTCATTTCCGACGTTATTGAGAAGCTAATAGCCGATAGCACTTGGGTGCAGTTTTACCACAGACATTTGGACATTGTGTTAGCCCCGTTAGCATGATTAGTCTTAGGACACAATGGATAGACAAAAACTTTGAACTTAAAAAGGCTGTCCTTCATGCACAAGTGTGCAGAGGATCCCATACTGCAGCTAGGAACCTGGAACAAGACTCTACAAGAGAGACAGCATCGCAGGTGACTAATGCTAATAAATAACATTTAACACTTTTCATTTAATATAAGTTAGAGTGCTATGCATATGGCTGTTACTGAATACATGTCACCAGCTCTTACAGCTGCTACACAATTTCTGTAGCAAATAAGCCTAAATAAGAGGACTATGTTCTGACAAAGGAAAGTACATAAAAAATATCTGCATCGGTATCGGCTATCAGCCAAATAAGTTTTAACATATCAGCGTATCGGATATCGGCCAAAAATCCAATATTGCGCATCCCTCATTTAGGTAACAGTAAAAGTAAAACATACAAAGTGCACTAAATTTGTACTCAATGACAGTAACACAAGTAAAGTGATTTGCGACTTTCCATCTCTGCATGCATTCACCAGGCATGTAGAGTGTTCAGATGTGACACTGACCCAGTGTTGGAACCAATGGGTAAATGAAGGCCCAGTCACATCATAAATATTCCATTAGCCTAAAACATACCACACCAAGGAAGAATTGTCCAGCATTACAGAACGCTATGGTATCTGCACCTGCCAACTGGATAGAAGAATGGGACTCTTCAACAACCCATTGTCATAACTGTGTCTTGATGACTGGCATAAATTGGGCTATTGAGTTTACTGCCCACATGCAAAGTCTGACATTTATCACCAAAGCAATGACTTTAGAGTCTTTGCACTTGACCTGGTGATGTGAACAGCAGGTCTGGACTGACGATGAGCGATATTGTTTGAACTTGTGTGTGAATTATTGAATGTACATCTGCAACTTATTACCATTGAATGTCGACTTGATTCAAGAAGGCCACGGCAGCAATCAACTTTAGCAAACGTTAAAAAGAGCTGTAATTCAAATTGACAGGTATTAAGATTAGATTGGTGTGATAATAGTCTTTCCCAAAATATACTCTGAGCATCAACACATCTTGAGATAGAACATGCTGTTTGCAAGGCTTGAACAAGATGGTAAACCTGTCGCTTTTTATCATAAAAGTATTGTTTGAAAGTCTGGCATGACATGTAGCAGATGAGATGCATTTATTCAGTTCTTTATGTGTAAATTTTGACTGCTGTTTGAAGCTAATGAATGATTTTTGAGATTTATAGTTTAGTCTAAGATTTGACTTTTAAAAACTTGATAAGATCTGTTGTCATTAGCAAAGCATAGAAGACTATATTAGTAAAACTTCATACTAACAAACAGCATTATCTAAAATCCAGAAAAAGTGAGAAACTGGGGTTTACAGAGCTTTTTTTTTTTGAGAAGTGAAAAATGAGAGTCAGCATTCTGAGACTTCTGTTTGACGTTTCACAATAGCTCAGCAAAATTCCCAAACCGTTT